AGCGACCACGGGAGATCCCCTGGCCTTTCCCGTGACCTCTGCCCCCCAGGTGATGGAAACTCTTTCCACCTCAGGTTGGTAAGAGCTTCCTCCATAAACTCCCAACCTCGGACCAAACAGAATCACGTGATGCAACAGTCAGCGCAGCAGACTTTTTATTTGGTGCTATTTTGTTCATCTGAGCACCATCAGATGGTGGGTTTGTTCTAAGTAAAATACTTCCTCAGTGAAAAGCCTTCTAAAATACGCTCTTCTGGCCATCTTATGAAGAAGGCACACGACACAGTTTAATATTTCTGAAGGCTCTGGGACATCCTTATGAACGTGAACCACAGCGCTGTCCTCACAGTCCTCTGACCCAAGCTGGGTTTTCAGTCCTAACACCAAATGCCGCCGCGTGCTTCTGAAGCTCCTGTCTCTGCGTGTTTGCACCGAGCAGTTGCCTCTCTGTGCCTTGGCTCTGGGCCTCTCTGAATCTACTCTTGTCCCTGAGGCAGCTCCGGCCTTGCCTGGGAAAACGGTGTGTGTGCCCTGTGCCGGCTGCCGTCTCGTCCTCAGAGACTTTTCTTGCTGTGCTATACATGGCCATAAATACTAGGAATCTACTTCCACACATCTGAAACTGTCTAGGAAGTTTTCACCGAGGCTCCGTGCTCCGAGAAGAGTGCCATCCGGACACATTCACATGGTTGTGCCCCCTCGAGACCCTCTCACGCTGCCATGTGCCTCACGTGCTGGGCATCCTGCTAAAATGCAGCTTCTGACTCAGGACGTCTCAGGTGGGGCCTGAGAGTCCGCATCTCTGACACGTTCCCAGGTGAGGCCACAGCTGCTGGTGCTGTTGTTTGTGTGTTGGAGCAGCAAGGCTTTAGCAGGATGTAGAGACCCAAATGTCTTCAGGGGCCAGGCGGCTGACTTACCGTGCAGAGCCCAGGGAGTGTCAGGGAGGTGGTGGGGTTTGCCCCCTGGAGCCGCCTTGCCCTGCCTAAAGGCCTGCTAAAGTCACTATAAAAGCATTGTTCTGCCCCCGAAGAAGCATGCCTGCAAGCTGAATTCAGCCCTCCGCATCTGGTTTAGCTCCTTGCTGGAGAACATAAAATCTCAGGCATTTTGCAGGTAAACTAATCTGGTCACACATGAGTCCTTCTGTAACCTCCAAGGGAGCAACTGCCTGTGGGGCCTGAACACCTACAGGTGTAGGTGGCTTGCCCCCTTGTTGAGAAGACCTGTTTAGAACTGGCTCTGCCACTTCCTAGTAGCAGGAATTTGAGGAGGAAGGAGAGAATAGGAATGCACGCATGTGTGAGTGCCCACGCTGTTCTAGTTTTGCACGTGATTTCATTGAATCTTCTCAGTCTTGCACAGTTGGCCATCGGCCTCATTTTACAGATGAGTAAACTGGATTTCAAGAGGTTGACTAACATGGTGATAATGACCCAGCTACTATGCAGGGAGGTGGGGACTCCAACTCAGGACTGTCGGCCTCCAAAGCCCTCTTTGAATGTAACAGCCACTGTGTATGCCAGGCACACTCATTAGTTCTAACCTGCCAGGGATCCTGCAAAGTATGCGTGACTGTTTCTGTCGTACAGGTGAGTGCACTGGGGCTGGGAGGTCAAATACTCACCCATGGGAATGGAGTGGAGCCAAGGTCCCAGCCCTGCCCTGACTGGCATGTCCCCTGTACCTGCTGCAGGCCAAGCCTCAGGTTCGCTGGTGTCCGGGCTCAAGCCCTAGGGGTGGCTTGAGCATGAGGAGGGGTTGCCAGAAGTGGCATTTCAGTGGCCCCAGACCTGTTGAATTGTTGACATCAGGATCTGGGCATTCTGAACCAGGTGTGACACTGCCATTTCCTAACTTCACACCTGTCCTGCTGGGGACATGTCCCGAGTCCTTCTAACACCTGCAGCCACCGATGTGGGGGCTGTGGGTGTGGCAGGCTCTGTGCCCGCCTGCTGGAGCAGGACTGGATGGCTTCTGGGAGCACAGGACTTGATTTCTTTCCCCTTTGGCTCATCCCTGAGAAGTCTGATGTGATAGGACAGAAGTTGCAAGAAGCATGAATATCGAAAGCATTTTGTTTAACTCAGCATATACAAGGCGTCCCTTTTAGGACCAGACATAAACAAGGGGTGGAGGGGCCTATGGCTCACGATTTCTTTATGATGGATGAAGGGAGATGCCCTTTCTCTGTAGCAACACAGACATACCTTCACTCATCCACACATGTGCACACATGCGCATATGTGCCCACCTGTGAGAGGGCAAGACTAACTCCAAATTACCCTCAGGAATCCGGGCCATTCACCTTGGGCTCTTCTCTTCCTTCATACTCTGAATCTAGTCTCCTGACGAGGCCCGGGCCGGATTCTGAGTGCACGGCAGGCAGTGCCTGTCCTGGCTGGCACCTGTGCTGAGGACAGGAGTGAGAGGGGACGCTGGGAAGGCTGGGGTCCCTGACCACAGGGTGCGGTGATAGGTGTCTCAGAGCTCTGATTGAAGGAGGTTTTGTTTAGCTCAGCAAACATCTCCTATGACAAAACTTTCCCCAGGCTTAATTTAACACTGCCCCCAAATGACTCGAATAGACGTGCAAGAACTATAGCTGCACTAGAGCTGTTAGGGTTACAACATGCTCACAACAAAGGCAAACAAACACAATTTTTTGGTTACCGGCTTTCCCTGCATACCTGCTTGATGACTTCGCACTCCTGGCTCCCCGAGGTCCCAGAGGCTGTCTTTGTGGCTGTGCTGAATGTGCGCTTGGTCCTCCCAGGCTGCTGTCCTGTCTGCGGCAGTGAGGCCACAGAGCCCCTTTCAGGACACCACCGTCAGCAGAGGGCTCCTAACTCAGCTTGTGACCAGGAGCACATGGAGTTGGGGCTCGATTCTTAGAAGCTGCTTCCTTATATCCTTCCCCCTTTACGTGGAGAGAGGCCACACGTGGGCATCACAGTGAATTGAGGGGTAGGGCTTAAAGGCAGTCTGCATTGCTTTGGGGTTCACCAGGGTTGTTATGAAAGGCTGGTGCCTCAGTTTCCTCACTGGAGTCTTCCTCCCACCCTCATTCCCACTCGGTGACCAGATTCTCCGGCCCTGGAGGTCACGTGAAGGACTAGTCGGGACAGCAAAGAGGGCGGGATGCTTACCCTCCTTCTGCCTTGCTGGTGTTTGCGAAGATCATCAAAGCTGGAGGAGCCCTGAGAGCGTATCTCATGCTAACCAGCCTTTCATTTTACAGAAAAGGCTCCGAGGGGCTGCCCCTAGCGGTGGGGCAGATAGAGGTGAGGGCCTTGGAATCAGCCCTCAGGTTGCCTCATCCCTTTTCTGTGACTTAGTTCGGATTCTCTCTGAGCCCCAGGTTTCTCATTCAATACAGCGAGGACAGTCCCTCCTTCCTAGGTTCCTTGTGGGGTCAAATGGGCTAATCAAGCTTTCACCATGGGAGCAATGAGTAGGTGCTCAGTTAATGTTGGTGTTTTTTTCTCTCCTCCCCCATTCTCTTTTCCTGTGGTATCTAGTTCCCCAAACACTCCCCCCACTGGGCTATGACGTCCTGGAGGTCAGGGACCCCAATAACTCCTCGTGGTCTCTCAGCACCCTTCACAGTGCCTGGCATACACCGATGAGGCTTCAGTTGACCAACGTCAGGCAGAGCTCTGGGACTCCCGGAGCCCCTGTATCCCCCTGGGATCCTGGGCGTGCCCTCAGGGACGGCCCCTCACATCGGGCACAGCTAGGACTCCGCAGCCAGTTTTACAGACGCACGGGAGCCATGAGGAGGTTTCCGGGACTTTTATTTTTACTTTTTATTTTTTTTAAAGCCAGTAAAGATGGGCAAACGCTTGGTCCATTTTGGGCTGCGTTTATCTGGTCAGCTCCACCCTCCTCCCCCAGCCCTCCCACCAGCCTGTAGCTCCAAATCTCCTGGGAAGAAAAGCCCCACCCTGCTGGCCAGTGCCAGGAAGCTTCAGCTCCAGTGCCACAGGGGGTCCAAGGAAATGAAAGGCCGGGGTCCCAGCGCAAGCCCTGGCTCAGCTCCCCACTGCAGAGGCCTCGCCCTTCCCTGGTGGGCACCGGAGTTGGAGGAGCGGGAACTCTGAGGTTCCTCCCAGCCCCACTGTCCTCCCCTCTCTCTGGGTGGTCCTTGCATCTACACCCAGGAAAGCCCAGGTGGGTGGCGCTGGTGTGCAACTTCGGCCACTAGGAGTTTCATCTTTTCTCTGCCTCTGCCTACAACTTCGTCTTTCCCAGCAGTGGGGGCTTCTTGTCTCTCCTTGTCTGGGGCATTTCCACCCAGGGCAAAAAAAAAGAAAGGTGGCCACGAGGACTGTTCTCTCCGGGGGTGTGATCCTTGAGTTTGGGTGTCATGGGTGTTACTTCTTGGCTGGGACCCACCTGCCCTTCCTGAAGTGGTTTTCCTCCGGCCTGGGTTATATATTGGGCTCTGGCCCTCCAAGCGGGATCCTTCCCACGCCAAGGTCTGGGTACGCCGTCATTCTTTTAGCCAGTAGCTACCCTGGGCCCAGGGCCCTGGTTTCCCAGCTCTCAGTGCAGCAGGGAGTCCCTCGTCCAGGCCAGCTGCCTCCTTGGAGGAAGCCCCCAGGGCTGGATCACAGGGGCATATCTGGGACCCCACAGCCAGTTTCCTGGCTGCAAAGTGATCGTTTTCATCTACCTGTGCACTTAACAATCTGCAGAGCTGGCAGGTCAAGGCCCGGCCCCCGGAGGTGCAGGATGGAAGAGAGGGCGCCAGGTCTCGGGACCAATTTGGGGCTCCCCTTTGCTCCCTCCTGCCTCAGCCAGGCTGGCCTTCTCCACCACCACGTCTGTGTCCGCCTCCTCCTCCCACTCCCCTCCCCTCCCTTCTCCTCTTCCTCCTCCGCAGCCCTCAGGTCAGCGCAGTGCCCCGAGTCGGCCCAGCAGCGGGGAGGGGAGGGGGCTGCAGGCGTCCCCCGGAGACGCAGCTGGCGGGCCAGGCGGGCCAGGCGGGCCCGGCGTCAGACGCTGTGCGCGCCCAGGCTGAGCACCGAGAAGGCGGCGCGGTGCTTGCGGAGCAGCAGCCGGATCTTCTCGTCGTCCGAGTCGGGGTCCAGCGGCTTGTTGTACTCGTCGTCCTCGTTCTCCGAGGCCGCGCGGTCCCCGCCCGCGCCGGCGCTGCCCGGGGCCCGGGGCGTGGAGGACGAGGGCTCCAGGGCGCTCTTCTTCCGCCACTTGGTCCTTCGGTTCTGGAACCACACCTGCAGTGACAGGGACGCCGAGGGTCAGGCACTCACAGCACGCGCAGGGCCCCTTTTGAGCAGGAAGACCCCCTCCGTGGCAAGGACACCCGACCCTTGCTTTTATAGCGAACAAGTGGCTCAGTAATAGAGTAGGCTGCGATATTCGCACGACCCTTTTTTAGGGGAGGGGCCAATAAAAACATAAACGTGGTGAGTGAGCAGCCCTTTCGGCCGAGCCGTAACCCTCCCGGGGTCGATCTTCCCTCCAGTTCGCCATCGGGGCAGTTGCGTAGAAGACGCTGAGATGCCCGGGGGGGAGGGGCCCAGCAGCAGGCGCTGGAGCGTCGCCCCCTTTTAGCTCCACGACCCCTCACCGAACTTCATTAGAAATTTCCCCTTAATTATAAAATAGTATGTTTTCAATGCTTGAGGTACTTGAAGAGCGCAGAAAAGTACCTAACGCAGAAAAACATGTAAAAGAGCCGCGTCGTCTCCTTCCACTTCGATTCTGCAGCAGACCAGGAGCCTGCAGACGTCAGGGGCTGGGATCCCGGCCGAGCAGAGCCCAGACCTGCGTCCCGACCTTGCCCTGCACTTCCCTTTCCTCTTAAACCTGTCACTACATCACGGAGCTGGGCGGTTCCAGTATAGCTCAAGGCTTCTTCTCCGGTGTCCCTGCACCCAAAGTCCCTTCGGAGAGACCTAGCATCAAAGTTGCCGAAGTTGTCCCCAGGAGCCTGAGGAAGTGGCGGCCCGGTTACTGCGTTCAGGCTCTGGCAGGTGCAGCAGCCTGAGGGTGACCCTTGCGTGGATCTCCGAGGCTTCTTATGTCCCGTAGCCCATCTGAATGAAGTTCGGATGGGCGTGGGGAAGAGAAGGTGTTAAAGTTCGGCAAACCAAGGCCAGCTCCCTTTTCAGCTATTGGCACAAGCCTGAAGCCTGTCCTCCCCTGGCCCAGAGGCTGACTTCTGATGTGGGTTGGAAGCTGCCATCAGCTCCAGAAATTGCTGGCCCAGACTGTGCGGAGGCCGGGAAAGCACGGGGCTGGAGGCCCGCAAATCTGGGTCTGACTCCCAGCTTCGCACTCACCACCCAGGGGACCGTGAGCTGGAGGCTCGGCTGAGACTGCCCTTTCACCTGTCAAACCCACCTTCAGGGTGCTGTGAGGGTTAAACGAGGTGCAAACCTCAAACTATGGCTTATTCTCTGCAGTCGGTCGTCTTTGGGCTAAGGTAACCGGCAGTCTCTGGGTGTGGGCGGGCAGGCAGGGCGCGAGCGGCAGGAGGCCTCTCACTGGAGCGGGGAGGGCTGCCTCTCTCCCACGTGGTGGCACCCTGTCCTCAGGCTCCTCACCACCCGTAGGCACCTGCTCCGTCTGTACTCACCTTGACCTGCGACTCAGTCATCCCCAGGGAGTACGCCAGCCTTGCCCTCTCAGGGCCAGCCAAGTACTTGGTCTGCTCAAAGGTCTTCTCCAGGGCAAAGATCTGGTGCCCTGTGAAGGTGGGCCGAGTGTGCTTTTTCTTGTGGATGCTGTCGCTCAGGGGGTCCGGGGCTGGCGGGAGGAAGGACAAGTGAGGTTAGCAGGGTGAGTGGGGTTCAGCCCTGCCCTGCCTGTCCCCCAGGGCGAGCTCCCTCCTACGGAGAAGCCACTGAGGTTAGAGGTGGGTGGGTCAGGACATCTCTCAAATGAGCAGCATTCCTGACAATCTGATAATAGTGGCCATGACCTCTGTCTAGGTGGGCAGACACCTGCTGAGAAGGCACCTGCTCCAGGTTACAGCTGCTTAGAGACAGAGGGAGCTGAGGACCCACCTGGGACCCATGCCTCTTTCTACTCAGCCGTGCTGCCTTCCCCACAGGGGCGAGAGGACTTTCCCCTTGGTCTCAGGGACAGCACAAAATGGATTAGGACCCTTCCACCAACAATCAGGATCCGAGGAGCCAGAGAATTCTTCCCTCCTGACTTCCTTGTTCTTGGGGTCCCACTTCCCAGGTCTCCAGAAACCAGAGCCTTAAGCCCCAAGCTACTGTCCGGCCCATCAGCAGGCCTGGGAGTCATCCACACTGTAGAGTATAGTCGCTGAGGCTCAAGACCTGGTCCTGCACCCAGCCAAGGCAGCTGGTTAGGAGGAAGGTGGCGGGGGTCAGGGTAAGCAGAATGCCCACCTGCCGGGCAGTGTTCGGAGCATCCTGATGGCCTGTGCCCTGTCCCCTCATGTTACAGATGAGGGCACCAGGGCACAGAAAGGGGAAGAGACCTCCGGAGAGACGGTCACCCTCAGTCCTCTCTTCCTGTGTTAATTCAGCCACTGACTTGCTTAGACATTTTCCTGTGTGTGCATGGGCACCAAGATTGAAGAGCAGGGGTGTGGAGAAGGTGTGTGTTTGGTGTGGGCTGGGGGGAGATGAGGGTGGGGGAGTTGAGAGGGAGAGACCGCCTGAGGCCCAAATCATCCCCCAAACTAGTTCATAAAATAAATGCCAAGAGATGGGTCACCCCTGGGGAACTTGCTGTGTTTCAGGTCGGGTGGGGGGCGAGAGGCAGTGGGACCACTTGGAGCAGTGCCAAGACGGAGGCCCCGTCGCCATGGGCAGCCCCGTGTTCAGACCAGAATGGAGGCCCCCCCTGCCCCTGCCCTGGCCTCAGCTAGACAGGGCCTTCGTGGCACAGGTCACTGTCCACCGTAGCCACTGTCACTCTCCCTGTCCCCCAGGGAGCCTCGCCTCTCTGTGGGTGTCCTGCCCCTCCTCCGGCCCCCGAGAACCAGCATCACGGGCCACTTCTCTGTACACAGGTTTGGGGTTGGGGAGGGTGAGGGGAGCTCCCACCGCAGCTACAGCTGAGTAGCTAGCTGCTCCTGGGTCTAAGCAGTTGTCGCTGCTACTATAACATCAAGCTTGAGGAGGACAGCAGGAACCAGCCCCCTCGGTGGCAGGTGAGGCAGGTGGAGTCAGTGTGCATTCTGAGTCCCTCAGAGGCGTCAGGGCGTGAGTGGGCTCCCCGGGAAAGTGAAGCTGTGGCAACATCTCCCTGGAGACAGCATTTGCCCACTTGGGATGAAGACGTGGTTTCTGGGGGGAGAAGGGAGGTGAGCTGCCAGCTGGACCCTCCACCAGTGGGCAACGTGGTCCTCCCCAGACTTAGAGACGCCCAGGTTTCCTAAAAGGGCAGCTGAGGTGGCAGCTGGTAAGGGGTGAAAAGTGGGGGGAAGGTGCCCTGTCCAAGCGAGATGGGGCGGTGTGTGGAGGGAAGCCTCCTGCTCTGAGGCCAGCAGAGAGATGGGCCCCAGTGTCTGAGCTTCGGGCTGTCTGATGGAGGCGGAGGACAGGTGGGCCCCATGTGAGTGTCCCCTCAGACCCTCTTCCTCCCTGATCCGGGGCTCCCTGTACTCACTGTTGCCGCACTGCCGCCCGCCTCGCCAGTCCTGGCCCGTATCTGCCCAGCAGTTCCGGGTCCGGGTGGGGTACTCGTTCCCAGCCTTGGAAAAATTTCCCACCTGGGGGCTATAGTAGACGCCCTGGGAGCCCAGTCCACCAAAGCCGGCCACATGGGGGTAGCCGGAGAGCAGGCTGCTGTTCGGCGTAGCCACGGGCCTGCTCAGGATGTCTGTGATGCCGTGGGGGGTCCCGGCGGCCAGCTGGGGGCCCAGCCCTGGGGGGCTGAGCTTGTAGAAGGAGTTCTGCACGGAGTACTGGCACATGGGCGCCTTCATCTCCGAGAACTGAGCCAGCGGCGCGTTGTTCAGCAGGAATGTCCCTTGCAGGTTAGACTCCATGTTTCTCGGGTCAGGGTGAGTGAGGGAAGGCAGCAAGCCCAAATGCAGGCCCCTAAATCCCGAGACCCTGCGCTCTGGCCCAGAATCCCATGGCAGGTTTGAAAGGTCAGAAGCGGCCCAAGCCCCAGACCGCCCCTCCTACCTAAGGCATCGGCCCAGCTCCTGCCTAGGGACTGGCACCCACGTCAGCTGCTCGGAAGTCAGGTGCTGCGGGACAGGTGAGAGGCCTCCCGGCACCCTGTCCCTCTCTCCCTGCCAGTCTGGAGAAAGGCAGCCCCCTACGCCTCAGCTCAGACCCCTCCTCTGCCTCTGAGGCTGGGGACCCTTCATAAGAAGTTTTAAGTTCAGAGAAGCAACATTTCCCTGATAAAGATAGGGCCCATTAGAATACAGACCAGAGACTGGCTGAGAGGCACCAGCCGCATCCCCATTGGTTGAAATCCACATGGGCCTCACATTGGCTTTTCGTAGACAAATTGCACTTTGAAAGATAGACTGTAAAATCAGCCTGTGTGTGTGTGTGTGTGTGTGTGTGTGTGTGTGTGTGTGAAAGAGAGAGAGAACGCACTCTGGAAGCTCTGTTCATTCTCAGAGGGGCCACCTGCTCCTGGTCCCTTCAGTCCAGCATCTAAGAAAAAGGTGGGCGGGTGAGGGGTCCTGGAGGCTCCTGCGGCCGCTGCTGGCAGTCAGTCCCAGTTCTTTCAGCTGCTCCCCTGAGGGCAAGGAGACCCCACTCAGGGGTCACTGTCCTGAGGTGCTCAGTCAGGGCTTGGTGTGCAGATGCCCAAGCCTCCGTGGGAGTGTGCGATCCGAGTGGGGATGCCTACCTGCCTCCTCCACGCCGGGATGGGTAAGTTGGGGGGCTGGGCTTTGGGGAGGGGGAATGCACATCCCTGCGACTGGCCTGAGAGCCTGGGGCTGGGAGCCTACCAGGCACACCGGGGCAGCTCTGGGCACACTGGCTGTGTGCCCTTCCTGCCTCTGCCTCTGGGCGACCTGCCCTGCTCCCCTCGGTCCTCCCATCCTCCCCCACCAAGGAAACCTTTGTGCCTTTGCTGGGGCAATTGCTGTATTCTGTCTGGCTTGCAAATCTTTGATGGCTGTTGATTCAGCAGTGGTTCCTCTTCCTGAGCACTTAGTTGGTGCTCAGTGAATTTTTGATGGATGAAACTAGATTGAATCTCGGAGCACCCACATGCCCTTTTTTCCCCTACTGACTTTTTACAATATACAAGGCTTTTCTAGGGGCGTTCATTTTACAAATGGTGAAATAGTGGTAAGTAACGGGTCATTTCTGTATGGGGCAGCATCCTTTCTTGAAGTTTTTGTTTTATGGGTTTTTAAATGGTAATCAGCATGCCACTGGCCTGAACAGGCAAAATGGCAGGAAAAATAGTGAGAGCCAGAAAAGTGGACTTTTGTCCCTCCTCTGCCAGCAGTGCCAACACCTATCCTGACCAGTCTGGGAGCTCCTTGGCTCTCTGAGCCACATTCTCTGTAGTGCAAATGTAGTTTAATGCAAGAAAGACCTCACAAAGGCTGCGTTGTGGACATTGTGTTTCTAGAAGTTTGGATTGAAAACAAGTAAAAAGGTTCTCATCTATCTGAGCTGGCTGTGCTACCAAGCTGCTATTTGGAGAATCCTAATTCTGAATCCCGGGGTTGTCCCTCAGCCCCATCCAGGCTGCTGTGATTCTGAACCTGTACTTTCAAAACCCTCTGGGCCACGCGGTTGCACAGCCCAGGCTGGCCCCTTGGTCTGGTGGCTTTTCTGAAACTGAGAGAGGAGCTTCAGAGCGAGGGCTGGGCGTATTCCTGGGACCCTGCAACTGTGACTTTGTCATCCAGCAGCGATGAGAACTTCTGGGGAAGAAAAGCTGCAGCAAATGATTTCTTCTTATTTAATGTCATGCTTGGCAAAGGCACTCATGTTTTGGGATCTTGGGATAACACACTGAAGAAATTTTAACAAGGGCTTAATTCATTCCCCCATTTAACATATGAGGAAACTGAGGCCAGCTTGATGGCCAGCCCTGCATGCAGTGTTAGGAACTAATTTCTAGAAACAGGGTGGTTTTCTCAAAGGTTCTTCAGCTTTGAATGGCACTGGGTGCCAAGGCCAGCTGCCTTCACTGGGAGCGCCAGGGGGTCCGTGTGAGCACATGCCAGCTGTGGGCTCGGCGGCTTGTGGTTTCTCCTCCCACCTTGGACTTGCCCCCATCTCATGGTAATCACAGGTGGGACAGAAATCTGCTCTACCATCTCAGGGGCTGGGGAACTTCTCCTGACGTGTGTGGTCACCTCCACTGGTCCCAACCCCAGGTTTCACTCCTGCCTCAGCACCTCAAACCCCCCAAGGACGAGCCAAAAAGTACAGATGGAACCCTGTGCCATGGGTCAGTTTCTTTATTAATTTTGACATTTGTTCAGCTGGTGTAGGGAGAATGGTCTATACATCAGAGTGGGCAAGGAGAATTCTCTCCCGATTACAGAGCATGTGGGAGAGAGTCAAGAAAAGATTTATTTTCATAACAATTAGAAAAATCAAGGTAATTCCAAAACGTCTAAAAAGCGTCTAATGTGCAGACTGCAGCATTCTCTAGGCATCGTGTGGAGACCCCAAACTCCTCCCCTAACAGCTCCTACTAGCAACCGCAGCGGGCAGCCATGCCGCCGGGGGGCCGGGCGGCGGGGCCAAGCAGCCATGCCTTACGGAGCGGAAGGTGCCAAAGCATAGGCTGGGGTCGTGGGTCGCGCGGGGCTCTGCGAGGGGCTACTGGGGGCGGCTGCAGCCGAGGCGCAGGGCGGGAAGGTACAGGATCCGGGCGGGGGGCGGGCCCTGCGCCGGTCTTCCTGGGGCCGAGGGGCCGGTCGCGGGAAGCCCGGGATCCGGTGTGTGCTCCAGCCGAGCCTCACCGCCAGCAGCCGAGCAGCCCTGCGCTCCTGCCCCACAGGGGGCCGATCAGGCCGCACTTGCTCAGGCACAGCCCTGGGGGGCCTGAGGCCACTAGCTTGGCCTTCGCCTGCCAGGCCGGCCACTCCGAAAGCAAAAGCGAATCCGCCCAGACCCACAGGAGCGCCTAGGCCGGACGGGGACTCCGCAGTGCCCGGATTTCCCGCTGGGCTGCGCTGTCCGCACGCCCCGTGCCTCCGGGACCTGTGCAGCCGGCGACAGGCACCGGGCCTTGGGCGCTATGACACTGAGGGAGCTTCTGTGCTACTTGGAAGGTGTGAATGTGTTCTGAGGACACGTCAGAAGAGTGGCAGGGAGGAAGGTGACTGGACACCCACGAACAGTGGCTCCGTGACAGCCAGCAGAGCCTGCCAGTCTCTCTCTGGCCCTGGAGGGCGCCCGCCGCGCAGGGCGGGGCCGGATTGTGCTGATTCGGGCCTCCCTCTGCTGGAGGCTCTAGTGTAACTTTAAGGCTCTTCCCTGGTGGCACCGAGGCGAGGAACAGCCAGCTGTCTGTTTCCTTCCTGCTCTGACCCGGGGCCTGGCCTGGGGGTGGGGGACGCCTTCCTCGCCTCCGCCTCCTGAAGGTCAGCTGCGCTCCCCTCCTCCCGCGTTCGCTCCCCTGGGCTTGTCAGGAGTGGCCCTTCCCCCGCCTCTCCTGGCGGGCCGCAGGGACTCGGTCAGGGCCGGAGCGCTGAGGCTGCCCAGCCTGGGCCCCCCATCCTGCGGGCTGCCTGGACTTAGAGCACCAAGTTCGCTCTGGGAGACCTCGGGGGTTGTGGCCGACTTCTGAGAACCCGCAGATACACTCACCATCCCTACTCCCTTCCTCTTTCACTGAAAGACAGGCTGTAGCTCCTTCTCCCGCAGCTTGGAGAAGTCCTCAGGAGCTGAGCTGTTAGTGCTTTGCACATACTGCTAAAGTGTTTCTATTGGTTTGCATAGTATTTATTATTTTTCATATACACAAGGCTGATTACTGTACAGTTTACACTTTGAACACAGACTATGATAGAAGTGCTTGAAGGTATAGAAAAACCTCTTCTCTATTGAACATGCTGGTGCAACCCTGGGACCGCCACCAACTGAGAGAGAAGACCCTTTCAGATGGGGCACTGGCTCCCTCTGAGCCCTACAGCTAAGCCTGGGGTCCTCACTTCAGATTCTTAAGTCCCTAGCACAAGGAACCCCGAATGCACTCTAAGGTAATGATTTTTCCATTGGAAGATGATTAATACTGAAACTGGCAGAGAGAGAGAGAGAGAGGGAGGGAGGGAGACACAACATAAAAAAATTCAGTTTATCCACAGGAAATTCTATACAGCTTCGACATCACAGTAAAATCTGTGTGTATACTGAGTAGAGGGGAGAGGTGCCTGTGTGTGTCCTCAGTGTGGTGTAGAGCGTTGGGGGGGGGCGCCCACTGTGGGGGGAGGAGACTGTCACCAGTGGAATGGAGGTATGTGTGGGCAGGGAAGGCTGGCAGGTGAGGACATGGGATTAAGGTGCTGAACTGATTTCACGCTTAGTTCTCATTTTTTTTTCTTTCCAGAAAGCCCACATGGATTTCTTACAGATGAGGTTGAAAAAAATAAGTACCCTGTAACAAGTCAAAATTAAAATGATTTAAAAAAATATATCATCCCCAGCCACAAAGAGCCCTTGTTCACTTCTGTGTTCGTGCGCTCTCTTGAGCTTGCTTTCTATCCCTCTCTCTCTCTCTCCCCCCACCCTCGCTGCTTTTGTCCTGATTCCCGACAGAGATCCGCTGTCAGCTGTCGCTAGAGGCAGGATTGAGCACTGTAGGTCATGCGTCTGCAGTCAGTCGTTCATGCGATTGTGAGACTAAAGGAAGTCCCTTCCGAAGGTCAGGCCGTGTCACCTAGAGGAACACTGCGGCCCTCCCGTCCAGCTCTCCTCCTGTGTGCATGGCGGAGTGTGTGGAGTTCAAGGGTTGGGTGTCGAGGTGTGATCCTGAGGGACACAAAGAGAGAAGGAGACACTTAGAATTTAAAGGTGCAGCTCCCAGCAAAACCCCCAGATACCG